ATATAAAAAGTTAATAAATGAAAGCAAGGCATTTTTATTTGAAGTACATGTAAAGGGGGTGTCAAATTTGTAGCAAGTGACTCATTTTTAAGAACAGTTTGCACACAATGAGCAAGGATTGTGTTCTTAAAAACATTCAAATATCACCCTTTGTAATAGAGCAAAGGTAAGTTTCTGGCTATTCCAAAATGAGCTATCAAAGTTCGGAGTGAGTGGACCACAAATTTATAAATTTACGGTAAGGAACATATATGCTATGTTGCTGGTTTTCCTCCAGATTGACCTTTAATCTCATGACATGATGGGCAGGGGCTGGAGAGAGGGAAAGTGGGCCTCAGGGACAATCATCTATGCACTGTGTCATTAGTGGAAGCTTTGTAAGCTTACAGGCTATCCAGTGTAGGTTATGTTCCCAGAGAAGTGGCATAGGCCAGTGCTTTCCATAAACTCTAGTGCCAAGCTGCCCAAGCTCAAGGCCAGGCTGTGCAAACAACTAGCTTTGTTAACATGGGCAAGTAGCCTGTTTCTGCACCTCAATTCCCATCAATAAAATGAAGGTACTAGAATTGAATGGGGAGGAGAGTTGGGAAAATTAAACAGCTTAACTTTTTATGAAGGGCTTAAAACTTTGCCTGCCATCTGAAGTAAGTTTTCTGGAAGTACTTATACAACCAAGGAAACCTGCACCCAGTTGTAGAACTTCTCAGGGCAGCTCAGCATGAAGCCAAAGCAGTAAATTGCTGACTGCAACCAAATAATTACTTCTTGAATGCAAACTTGTCATGGACTGAATATTTGTGTCGCCCCCTCTCCCAACCAAACTCCTACATTGAAACCTAATCCCCAATGTGATGGTGTTAGGAGGTGGGGACTTTGGGGATGATCAGGTCGTAAGGGAGGAGCCCCCATGAATAAATGCCCTTATAAAGGAAACGCCATAGCGCTCCGTGCCCCTTCCACCACCTGTGCACACAGTGCATAGATGATTGTGAAGAGGAAGCAGGTTCTCACCAGGCACCAAAACTGCTAGCACCTTGCTCTTGAGGACTTCCAGGCTCCAGAACACTAATAAATGTCTGTTGTTGATAAGCCACCCAGTCTGTAGCATTGTTACAGCAGCCCAAAGGGACTAAAACAAACTAAAAAATCACATTAATCAATATCAGAAACTTCCGAACAACTATCAAGGAAGCTCAGTTATATTTCTGTACTATTAAACTCTTCTAGGTTCTTTGATCAGAACAGCATGAAGCTGGGTTTAAAAAAAAAAAAACTTCTATGGCCCTACTTCACTGATTAACTTACTTCATTCTAAGTCAGAACAGTTTTGGCTAATCCTTTGGTCAGAATGAATATGGCCTAGGGCAGTATTTCTCAAGACAGAATCTGTCACAATGGTGCTTTAAAATAATCTATTTTAACTTCTTAGGTGCTCATGTAATCTTTGACTAATTATTTCTAAAAGCTGAGTGTTCTACCTCCTGAGACAGTCCATGGTATGTTTAAAATGGTCATTACAAAGTTCTCTAGGCTCAACTTCATATCCCTCTTCCTTTGCTCTTTGGGTTTTACAGAATAAGGAGTTGTTTGTATACACAATAATTCTTAGAATATTTAAAGCCACTTAGAGTGGATTCTCCTAGGGATTATGTACTTGCACCAGCTTGTATAGTAAAACTTTCTTATAATCAAATTTACTCTTGAAAACCTCCTAAATTGCTTAGAGTAAAATCCTAATAAAGCCAATTTTACCACCAGGGTTAGAACAGACTGTTCTTTTTGCTGGCTGCAGATGAAGTAGTTGGCTGGCAGTCATATGAAAAATACTCATCTTTATTCACTTGGCATGAATGTATATTATTGAAATTATCTGTATGATGCAACATTACAAAATATTTTAGCATTTTTCATTTAAAAAACAGAAATCAGGGTGGAGCCAAGATGGCGGCGTGAGTAGAGCAGCGGATGTTTCCTCCCAAAACCACATATATCTTTGAAAATACAACAAAGACAACTCTTTATAAAAGAGAGACCAGAAGACACAGGACAACAGCCAGACTACATCCACACCTGTGAGAACCCAGCGCCTCGCAAAGGAGGGTGTTGGATGATCAGCTATGGAAGTACATTTTTCTGATAATATTTCTTTCTCTTAAAAAAAAAAAGCAGTTCCTGTGTGGTGGTCTCCAATAGGTTCTTCACAATGGTATAAAGGTCATATCAAAGTGTGGGCAAAGGGTTTGTTTGTGTTTATACAGAGGATCAAAGCCTAATTTGGCTACCCAGAAAACGAATTAAGATATGATATGAAGAAGAACTTCCAACATCAACATCCTCTGGAAGAGTCATTCCAGAAGATGATCATCAAAAAACTTCAACAAAGATCCTGGGACTGTTGCAGTTGTAGCTGCATTCATCCCACCGGTTCCTGGGCTTACCATTGGAATGAAGAAGGAGATACCTAAGCTGGCCTGTGCATACAGTAAAACAACAAATTTGACTGGATCTATATTGTCGGAACTCAACCAAGAATTAGGAGAAGTGCTAGTTGCAGTGCTCCAAAATCGAGTGACTATAGACTATCTACTGTTAAAAGAACATATGGGATGTGAACAGTTCCCAGGACTGTGTTGTTTTGTCTGATTTTTCTCAAACTATTCAAATTCAGTTAGACAATATCCATCATATTATTGATAAGTTTTCACAAATGCCTAGGGTACCTAACCGGTTTTCTTGGTTTCACTGGATATGGCTGGTAATTGTAGGTCTGCTTTTGTTATGTATCTGTATTCCTATTCTGTTAATGTGTGTATGCAATTTAATTAGTAGTTTGTTAAAACCTATACATGCTTATGTTACTCTACAAGAAGTTATGTCAAAGAAATAATCAATCTTCTCATGTTTTCTTCCATCTGCTACTTCTATAGCTTTTCTTCTTCCTTCCTAATTACAACCCTTTAGTAGAATTCGTGCCTCATATCGAAAATTACCGAGTATCATAATTCTTCCAAGTGGTAAAGATACCTCAAGACAAATGCTGGGCATAGAAGCCACAGGGCATAAATCTGCAAAGAAGTAAAAAGCTAACCTTTTCAAAGAATATTGCTTCTCTCTCACTTACCAACTTTACATTTCCCTGTATGGCCCCAGAAGATGACTGGTTAGCCAGAGACGGGTAAGATTCCTCAAGGGAGGAACAACCTAAGACAGGCACAGTCGCAGGGGGGCCATCAGGTGAGAAACTGGGGATCAACAGAGGTGAGGCTTAGAACCTCACCCCCCTGTTCTGAGAGAAATTTGCATCCGTGGATGTTTTGTTGCCCTTGTCTAGCTTGGATTAATACTTAGTCTATAGGCACAGACCTGATTATCTACATTTGCCCTCTTACAGCACTAAATTATGTTTTCTACCTTTATCTTGCATCTACCTACCACTTCAGCATTTTATTAAAATAATAATAATAATAAGGGAGAAATGTGGGATTCACATATAAATCAAGTATAAAAATCAAATGAATAATCATATCTGACTTGTTTATAGTTCATGATGCGTGATCAAAACCGAAAGTTTCTGTGATATGACTGCCCTTGCACTGTTCACCATGTAAGAACTTATTCACTATGTAAGAACTTGTTCACCATGTAAGAACTTGTTTGTTATGCTTCAGAAGATTGGAGACTGTTGAGAATTAGGCTTGGGGTTGATTAATGATTGTGCATTGAGTTCCCTATACAGAATTTTATTGTTGTTAACAACCAGTTGATCAATAAATATGAGAGATGCCGCCCTCTCAAAACAAAACAAAACAAAACAAAACAAAAATCACCATCAAGTACTTACAGTATATCAGGCACTGTGCAATGATAGGAGCACTTCTTACATATTCCTCACCAATGAATGTGGAAAAACAGGTAATTTATTAACTGAGTGAGGAAGCCATTCCTGAGATGAAACTGACATTTAAAGAGAAGATTAAGGAGAAAAAGATATGGTAACATGAAAGCAATATTCTTCAGAGGAAAAACTTAAGGTAGTTTAGCCTGAAAAACAAGTCTACACAAGTGTCACCTTCCAGCCATGAATTAAGTATCTCAGGAACATTTGACTCATCATGAACAATGATTTGCAGCAAATCCCCAGAATATCTACTTTTAGTTGTTGCCTATAAGAAACTCCAAACTGTGCCATTATTTAGAAAAAGAAAAAAAAATTTTTTTTCACTAGGGAAAATTACAAGGTATTTTCAAGTGGACTGCTTACTGAATCCTTGTAAGATATATAAACTTCAAGGAAAGAAGTCATCCTAGAAACAGAAACTAGACTTACCCAGTCCTTCAGTTACACTGAAAAATGTTTGTAAGTTGTCATAGATCAACAGTGGCAACAAAGACCCTAGCAGCAGTCATGCGGATCTTCTCAAGAGAGAGTGATGGCAAACAACTGCATCAGGGGCTCCCCACATCCCTTTGCCATCTGACAGAGGGGAGTTTTGTTAAAGATCAAAGGCAGCCTTGATAAGGAAATGAATTCACTAATGTCCAGTGCCTGACGGTACTGAAGAAATGGAAAAATGCACTCCCCTACCTAGCTGCAGATCTGGTCTGGGCAGGGACAGTTTATGGCAGGTGGTTTGTGCATGAGTCACAGAGCTGTTTTTTTTTTAAGGCACGGGTGGAGGTACTACTTTCTCCCCAAGTTGATCCCTCCATTACTAGCGCCAAACTACAGCAGTTTTACCAAAATCTGCCAACTTTTGAAAAGTGAAGAGAAGATAATGTTGCAGAAAAGCACTGAATCTTAAGATCTTCCTAACTCCCATCTACTTCACGACCCTAAACAGCCATCCACCTTCATTTCCTCAACTGCAAATTAGGGATATATGGCCAGTAACTTTAAGGGATAACAAAGTAGCAAATAAACTGAAACTTCAAAAAGCACTTTGTAAATCATAAAACACTATACAGGTAAAACATATAAAGAATTACAGATATTTAGACAATTGAGAGAAAAAAAATCTCGTGTGAACTTTTAATTTTGACAAAGCAAAATACAAATTTTACACCCTAGACTTACAGTTTCACTTATTTAAAAAATAAGAGACAAGGCATCCTGGATTCCAACAAGATTTCAGGCGTGAATAAAATAGTACCAGATTTTCAAGTTATATAAGCTAGCTGCATTTTATATATGATAAAAGTGAAGAGATTTGGGACATTCACTAGTTTTAAGTGTACCTCTAAGAAAGAAACACATGGACATGATGTATTTACTATCAACCACACAGTTATATATCAATAAATACCTAAGTAACTGACATACACATTTCCTCTAACGTTGGACACCACTCCACAAATATCAAATTACACAAATCATTTGCTTTTTTATAATCTCCATTTGAAAACTGAAAAATAAGAGGAATGTAGAGTTAAGTAGCTGAAAATGCTACACTTATTGCACACAAGCACATCATAACAAGGAATGCTGGAAGCAGTACCCCCGAAGGAATGACTTTTGAAAAATTATAGTATATTTTATCAGAAAAGTTAAAGTCTTTAGTGTGAAAAGCATAAGTATTGACTCAATCTCTAAAGATCTAGCAAATCATAGATTTTGTGCAATTAATTACTAACATACATATTTAAGGGATTAATATTCACTTCAACAATTTAGGTGGTTCTGAGGTGCCTACTCTTCACAATTCACTTTAGCTTTACATGTCCACAAAACGTGGGGATTCCTCAATGGTGAATGACAGCTTATTCTGCACTACATACAAGTATTATGTATATGATGCAGAACAAACGATTGCTTTTCACCTTCAAGAAGTCTATTTTTAATTTATATAAAATTAATTTTTTCACCCACTAGTATGGATAAAAGTGCTTCTCAAATATACATGGCCCATTTTCCATGATCCTAAAACAAAAGTAAAGGCACACAAATAGTTAAGGTAGTTTAGCCTGAAAAACAAGTCTACACAAGTGTCACCTTCCAGCCATGAATGAATTTTATGTGAATATTTTTCATTAGTCTTTAAACAAATTCAGTTACTATCTGCTGCTATCTAGAGGCATGACAAAGTTGTTAGAAATTCCTACAACTTGGGAAATTAAAGATCTAAAGACTCTCTAAACAGTGCAGTACTGTACAGTTCATATATTGGTTCACTCACTCTAAGCTGTTAACTCCTCCTCAGTCTCTATGGGTGTTAGGTACTTACATTTCAGCAGTTACAAGACCAAGAAGACCAAGAACTTGTTGAAATTAGTCTCCCACAAAAGTTTTAAATCTTGTTACAAACAGATCTAATATGCTTGTGAGCTACATTTTACAATAACTATAAAGACATTTCCCCTTTCCACATTTGGATGAAATGTAATAAAGAATGCTTATGCAAGTCTTTCATTGTAATGAATGGTATTTTTCATTTATATGCAAAGAAATTCAATAGTGAGTATCACTTAGATATAGAAATAGTCCCATTTCTTCTCTTTTCCCTTTTATAAAGTGCTCTTTTTAACTGGGTAGATTTACTATCCAGCTTTCCAATAATTTCACTATATGTCTCTAACAGATTCAAGGAAACATTGGAAAATTGAAGGGATTCAGTATCTTAAACAGTTACAAAACATTGCTAGGCAGCATAGAGACTATGAATGTATTTTATTAATAAAGTTAAAAGTGTAACCTTACGTGAGAATCATTAAGTTGATTTAATAATTACTTCACAGAAGCATAGACTCGCTAACATTTATGCCAATTTTTGCTGATCGTGTGAACCAGAACACTTTCTGTAGGCAATTCAACTCTAGGCACCATCAAACAGGGCCACGTCTAATAAGACCAATGGTTATGTGGTCCCCAGAATGAAAAGTCCAGAAAATTTAGACTTTTAGAATAATAGCAAAAGAAGTTTGTGAGAATCAGAACCAGAGGAAGTATTTTACTTAAAAGTACCATAGATTGTTTTCTCTAAACAAAAATGTGTTGTTGTGGACCCTAATACTCAGTGCAGTTCTATTAGAGATAGTTAAGGGGGACCCACACTACTAATTCAAAAGTGAATGCTTATTTCTTTAGTGGTCAGTGATTAAAACTGAAATTGCCTTAAATAGTTGAACATTACTTATCTATACAAATAGGATATCATCCTTACTGATACTATTCCCTAATTAGTATTCCTGCATTTCAACTTTTACATGACCTTCAGAATCTTTTAAAGAAAATTTTTACCCAAATACATTGGACTTGGGTCTCAATTTGAATGAGGATGAGTGGCCTTTGTAAGACCGTTCCTCCTGTTCCTCCTCCCCCTCTTCCAGGGGCTGCTCCGGGTCTCGGAAAGTGGGTGTAGTGTGGATGATCTGGGTTCGGAAGCGGATTTTGTTCAGTCTGGGTTTTATCCTTCCACTAGAACTGCCTGAAGCTTTGCGACCTGGATCCTTCGCTTTGCCTCCAGCCCATCCCTCAACCAGGTGGAGGTGGTGGTGATGGTCCCCTCCATCTTCCAGGGGGTGGGAGAGTTTGCAGCTGATGAGGTGTGAGGGGAGCACCTTTGAAAGCCTCCAGCGCCCACCCCAGCTGACTGTGGCGCCCTCTCCGTCCTCCTCTTCATCCAGGGCTCCCACCAAGTTCCTGATCTCCTCAGCAATGCTCTGACTGAGGTACTGAGAGGCCTTCCTCCCACTGTAGTCCCTGATGTCCACGTCTGCATCATAAGCCCCCACCAGCAACTTCACCACCTCCACGTGCCCGTGCATGGCTGCCAAGTGCAAGGCCGTGTAGCCTCCGCTGGTCCTGGCGTTGATGTTCACTGGCAGCTGGTGTTTGTTGGCAAAGTTGACCAGCATGACCAGGAGCTCCTGCCTGCCATGCTTGGCGGCCCAGTGTAGGCAGGTGAAGCCGGTGATGAAGTCCCTCTTGGCCAGCAGGCCAGGCTCACAGGTGAGCAACCCTTCTAGGCTGTCCCACCTGCCATCGGAGGCTGAGAGCATCCAAGCATGCTCCAGAGGGTCCAGTGTCACCGAGCCCCCGCCACTGCTCTCCTCCTCAGCCAACGACGAAGCGACGGACGCGCTGTCCGAGTCGCCCCCACCCCTACCGCGTCCCCCAGCGGAGGAGCTCCCTGGGCTGCTGCCCCCAGGACAGCCGCTCCTCCTGAGCTGCGGGGAGCCGCCCATCACAAGCTCGCGGAGGTTCTGGCGGGCGGCCCTCTGGGCCGCGACCCCGCCCGGCGAGCTGCCCCCGTCCGCGTCCTTGCAGCCTTCGGGCGGGGGCTCCCGGTCCTCGCTGCCGGGGGCCTGTCCCCGGGGCGGCGGCCGCACTTCGCGCCGCGAATTCTTCCTCCGGACCCCGCCTCCTGGCCCCGCGTACTCCCCGCCGCGCGTCTCGCAACCCCGGCCCGGGAACGACTCGGAAGGCGCCACCGCGGGCCACAAGCCGCTCCGCTCAGGCTCGGCCGCGTCGCCGGGCGACCTAGAGCTGCGGCCGAGGGGCTCGGGCTCGGGCTCGGTCACCGTGACGAGGGGCAGACCCGGCGGGGGCGCGGCCTCGGGCGGAGGAGCCCCGTCGCAGAACCGCTTCTTGAGGTGCACGTACTTGGAGCCGTCGGTGGGGTCGGTGCGCACAGTGGCCACGGCGTTGACCAGCTCCTTGAAATGGGCGCGGGCGCGGGTGCGCTGCTCGGGCTCGCCGCCCAGGGCGCCCCTGAAGTGCTGCACTAGCTCGGCGTGCCGGGCCCGGCCCCCGCGCTCCGCCAGAAAGCGCAGCACCGCCTCGGGCCCCAGCTCCGAAAGGCCCTCCATCAGCGGCGGCGCAGCCTGTCCGGAGGCACACAGCTCAACCCAGCCCCATCACTGCGGCGCCCAGTTCGGCTCCCGACGGACGCGTACAAGCGCAGATCCCCAGGATCCTCGCCGCAACGTCTGCGGCTGGAAAAGCCTGGCCGCCGATGCGAGGCCGCGCCCGGACGGACACGCCCCCTCCCGCCCCGCCCACTTCCGGTCCCCGCGCGGTGCTCCAGCCGGCGGGCACGCCCCCGCCCCGTTCCCACCCACTTCCGGTACCCGCGCGAGCAGCTGTCCGGCGCCCGCTGGTCTTGGCCGGCTGGCTAAGGGGTCCTGCCTTGTGTCCGCCTGTCTTCCTCGCGTCGCGAACCCCCTCCACTCACCCTCTTCCTGTGTTCCGCGTCGTTTCAGACGTCGAGCGCACTCCTCCGACAGTATCGTTCTGCGCGCGTAACGACCGGCGCAACTGACGGCGCGCTCCCCCCCGAGCGGCCCGGCTTCACAGACGCCCCGAGCCTGGCCCCTCCCTTTCCCAGACCCCCGGCAGACGCAGGCCCGCCCCTAACCCCCGCCTCCGGCCGGCGCCGCGCCGCGTCAGACCCCCCGGCCCGCGCCGCTCCTTTCGCCGTCGGGACGCGCCTCTTAGGGTCCGGGGCCCAGATCCTCGCCCCGCCTCTCTCAGCCCGCCTGCGCCGCGCTGCCGCTCGGGACCATGACTTCCGAGGTGGCTCGGCACCGGGTGAGTCCCGCTGGACCCGGGGCTGTTGCGTTGGCTCGGCACGCTAGTGAGGCGGGGGTCGTGCCCGCGCCCCTCCCGGACTAACGCGGCTGAGCGCGGATTGGGCGGGAAGCGGACACTCTAGCCCGGGTCGGCGCGGAAGGGGAGGCGGGCGCCGGCGGTGGGGCAGCGGGCGTGGGACGGGAGGCTGGCGCCGGCGCCGGCGGCGGGGTCGACTCCTCCCAGAGCGCCGGGCGCGGTCCAGGAGCGGCCGCAAGTGTTCTCTTGGCACCCGGTCTGTGCCCGGAGTTGAGTCTGAGACAGTGACTGGTCCGTGTTGGATGTAACGGTCCGAGCGCGCCGATTCGCAGTCGTGACCACTCCCCGGGCAGCTCGCTGCGCCGCGCTTCCATGGCCTCTCCCAGGAGCTCCGCGCTTTTAGCCCACCGCCCTTGCCCAAGTTGTCTTCCGTTAGGATTTGAGCCTTTTCTTTTGTCTTGGCACCCTTGTACATTAAAAGAATACGTGTGACTGATTTGTTCCGTGTTTTATACCATTCAGATCGCTTTTATGTATTTGTTTCAATTGATAGTAAGCTAATGGCTCTCAAAGTGTAGTCGAATTGTCATTTTCATACCAAGCCGTTATTTGCCTTTTCACTCTCATTCTCTTAAGAGTGTACATTGAGTTTCCCATAGGCTGCGATGTGAGATGAGGTCACCGTTCTGAGGGCTAATAGAATATGTGTACATGTTTAAGAACTTTAATTTCTAGCACTATAAATGTTAATGATTGTAATGCATTGGGGGGGAGGGGGGAACTGAGACCAAAAAGTTTGAGAACTACTGATCTAAGCAATCTCCTAATCTAGAAGTTTGGATTGTAGGAACAGAGTTCACATTGCAGCCTGAGAGGTAGGCCGTTGTATCCAGTTTCTTTGATAGAATCCGGACAAGGTTGTTTCTCCCTAGTTCAGCCCAGGTTTCTCTCCCCTGTACTTTATATTTAGACAAATCCTCAGTTTTTCTATCTACTGCCTTGTTACAGTTGCTGTATTTGTGTGCATTCATGGGTGAGGAAAATGTGTAGTGTTCTTCAGAATTAAACTTGGGCTGAAGAAAGACTTCATTTGATTTTGGATTTCTCTTCAATTGCCGTATTTATTTTGTAATAATAAGGCTACCTTTAGTTTCTAATTAAACTTTTTATTTTGAGATAATTGTAGATTCACATTCAATTTTTTTAAACAATTTTGTATTAAGGTATTGATGTACACTCTTATGAAGATTTCACATGAAAAAACAATGTGGTTACTATACTCACCCATTATCATGTCCCCTCCATACCCCATTTCAGTCACTGTCCATCAGTGTAGTAAGATGCCACAGAGTCACTACTTGTCTTTGTGCTACACTGTCTTCCCCATGATCCCTCCCATACCATCACATTCAATTTTAAGAAATAAAGACATACTCTGTGTCCTTTACCCATTATTCTTCAATAATATCTTGGCAAAACCATAGTACACGACCACAACCAGAACACTGGAATTGATAATGTGAAGATAGAGGACTTTCCAACACAAGAACCCCTCAGATTGACCTTTTATAGCCACATCCACTTCATTTCCACCCTACCTCGTCCTTAACCCCTTAACCACCAATCTGCTCTTTATTTCTGTAATTTACTCATTTTAAGATGGTTACTTAATGGAATCACACAGTATGTAAATTTCTGGGGTTGGATTTTTTTCACTTAAAATTCTCCAAAGATTCATCCAGGTCATTGTAAGATAATTTCTAGCCAAAAGAAGCAGGCGATGAGAGGCAACAAAGGGCCAGGCAGTTTATTTGAGCGCAATTCCCTGGCAAGGTTCACCAGTCTGAAACACTGGCGGGAAAAGTTCGCGCCCAGGAGGCGAGGTGGGGAGTTTTTAAGAGAACAGGGAAGGGAGGGGAAAGTGGGCCGTGCTAGGGGTATGTGGGGAATTTTTTATTGGCTCAGGGTCAGGTGATGGACAGCCAAAGGTCTCCTCCTTCCAGATGGAGGGTGTCCACATCTGGAGTTTGTGGGCAAGTCACAGGACTGGAATCCCGGAAGAGCTGTCCGTTCCTTCCTTATATGGCACAGAGCTATTTGGTGCTGTCTTTGTTCATTTGCACTGTCCTCGCTTTCCTCCCTTCAGTGCTTCCAGCCTTACAGTCATTAGTTTGTTCCTTTTGATTGCTGAGTAATATTCCATGGTGTGGATGGACCACACTTTGAGGGACATCTGGGTTTTCATTGTTTGGCTATCATAAATAAAGCTGCTGTAAATATCTGTGTATGCATAATGTACATTATTACACATAATGTAGCATAATGAAAAGTAAAGTCTTCAGTTCTCTGGGATAAGTGCCCAGGTGTAGAGTTGCTGGGTCACAGGGCAGTTGCATATTTTTATAAACACTGCTGAACTGTTTCCCAGGGCTTCTGTACCATTTTCCATTCCCACTAGTAATGTGTAAGAGATCAGTCTCTCCACTTCTCACCAGCATTTGGTGTTCTTATTTTTTATTTAGACATTCTGATGGATATGTAGTGAGATATATTTGCATTTCCATAATGGCTGATGATGCTAAATATCCTTTTGTGCTTATTTTCCATCTTCATGTTCTCTTTTGTGAAATGTCTCTTAATTTACCCATTTTCTAATTGGAATTTTTTTTTTACTGTTGATTTTAGAGTTTTTAAAAAATGTATTCTAGTGATTAGTCCTTTCTTGATAAATAGTTTGCAAATGTTTTCTCTGTCTTTATTTCTCTTAGCTTTGTTCTCTCTCAGGTTATTTCATCCTCTTAGTAGAGTTTTTTGCAAAGTAAAAGTTTAATTTTGATAAAATCCATTTTATTAAGTTTTCCTTCTATGGATTGTATTCTTGGTGTTAAGTCTAAGAATTGCCTAATCCTAGAACCCAAAGGTTTTCTCTTACTTTTTTCTAAAAGTTTTATAGTTTATGTTTTACATTTAAAGCCTATGACCCTGTGGGTAAAATTGTAGTATTTCCAGAATATCTTACCTGATTTTAGTACATCTGCATGTTAATAGGCGTTCAGAAGTGAAAAGAAGTATGGCTTTAGTGCATTTGCATCATTTTTCAGGGGTGGAGATAAGTTCATCTCTATATCAATGGGTAATTACCTGGGCTGTGGAGGACTTATCTTTACCTGAGAGGGGAGGGGAGGGCCAGTTATGCTGCTGTTGGAGCAGGAGAGAGAGATGGGCCAGACTGCAGTTTTGTAAGCAATGAACAGGTTTTAAACTTTATTTCTCCCTTTGACTGATGTTGGTTTTTAGAGGTATTTTGTCCCAAGATTTTCTTTCCCCGGATACCTGGTGCAGTCGACAGGGTTCCTCTGAACCTGAAATCTGTTATAATAGGTGCGACCTTTGGGAGGGCCGCCCCAGGAAATGATGGGGAGGAGTGGCACTTGTGCTGAGGGACATGTGTCTACACTCGTGTGGTCGTGGAGGCACCACCACCGCTGCTGACCACGCTGACACCAGCCTGTGGCCCAAGCATAAGACTACTGCTTCTGCCACTGCTGCTGCTCCTGCTGCCGGCCGGAGCCTGGTCACAACTATGGAAAGGAGCAGAGGTCCGGTACATCTTAATAGAGAAGCAACTGGCTACTGTGTACCACGCCTTGTTGGCTATGGAGCCCATTGCCAGAAAAGTTCTGACCAAGGTAATAACCACCTGTCCCATCGCGGGGTGGGTGAGAGACTGGACCCAAAGGCCACAGAGTGGTGTGGCACACACCTACTGTATATCATGTGACTGACCATTTGCCTTTGGCATCCCTATGGAATGGTGAAGCAGACACATTGGCCCAGATGCTCTGGGTAAAAGGAAAGCCTGTCTCTGATGTGGCCCAATGCCTACATCAGTGCTTGTTGCACGTGGGGCAAAAGACAACGTGGGCTGTAGCCCATCAGTGGGGCTTGCCATTGATCTTTGTAGAAGTCAGCCAGTCCTGCAAAGAGTGCCCTATACATTGTGCAGATAAGCAAATCACCAAGAGGGACATAGAGCATCTCTTTGCAGCCTATGGCTGGTTGCTGGTGATTGTGATTGAGAGCAGTCAAGGCACCCACTTTATTGGACATGCGTTGCAAAGATGGGTGCAGCAATTAGGAATAAAATGGACATGGGCCTGGACATTTCGACACATGAACTGGTGATGGCTGGGTCTTCTGACACCTTGGGGAAAAGGCCTGGAAGCTGGCCTCCTGTGTATTCCTGGAATAACAAAATGGCCCCCCACAATCACAGTTATTTGCTTCTTCGGTCCTTGTGTCCTGGATGTGCCCCCTGGCTGCAGCTGTCACATGATGGCTGGAATGGATGAGTTTTGGACTTAATCTGCATGGAACTTTGAACCTAGCTGAATCCTCTGGCTTGAGAATTATCATGATTGTGTTGCTATTGTCAAGAAAAAAATGCTTAAAGAGAGGCTTGACTTTGTCTAATGTTTGGTAAAAGTTTTGTGAGCAATCTAGCGTGGTTGTTAGGAATTAGTAAACAAATGTAGAAACATTTTGTGTTTAGTGAGAGATTGTGCTATGAAATACATTTACTTAATCTGCATAGGATGAATCCTCTGGTTTGAGGATTATCATGATTTTATTGCTGTTGCTATTGTATGTCATTAGTTTGGTGAGATTTCTGGAGGGGTGGCCTGGGGCAAAATTATAGTATTTCCAGAATATCTTGCCTGGTTTTAGTACATCTGCATATCAATAGGTGTTTAGAGGTAGAAAGAAGTATGGGTTTAGTGCATTTGCAGCTTTCCTCAGGGGTGGAGAGAAATTCATCTCTGTATCATTGGGTAATTACCTGGGCAAGGAGGGCTTATCTGTACCCTAGAGGAGAGAGGACAGCCGGTTTTGCTTTTGCTGGAGCAGGAAAGAGAAACGGCCCCAGACTGCAGTTTGTAAGCTATAAACGGATTTTAAACTTTATTTCTCCCTTTGACTGA